AAGATCCAGTCAGCTTTCCGATACTACTAATGTGGTGGCAGGGGACCTTTATGAGGACGAAAAAAGCCATAATACGCCTAGAGAATATATATACTCGGCATAGGGGATATATTGGGGCTATTGCGTGGCCCGTAGGCTAGCCCACCCAGTGACGTACAACGGCCAAGACGAAGTTACCCTTTACCAAAACCGACCACTAAACAAACAAGTAACGTATTACAACACCTGTTAGCTTAAACCCTCGATTATGGTAATAGGTTGCTTTGGGCCCCCGCTATTGAACCATCGCCGGGTAGGCTGACCTTTGGGCCATGTCAGTGGCCCCAACAACTACTGTATAGCGTATATATATGTATATTCCGTCCACGCATTGTCTTCATTCACCTTTATAAAAGTATCGGAGGGTAACAATATTGCCACAAAATATGTATGCGGATTCCCATACATGAGAAAGTATTTTATGACATTTGAATATAAGATAATCGTACTCGATAATGAGTTCCGGACTTGCTACCAAGATAATGAAAACAGAAATATATTAAAAAAAAAGGGTTTTCAGATTTAAACGATAAGTTGTCACTAGGGCATTCTTATAATTGAGAAAATGTCAAGTTACTTTGTATGCATGCTGTGGCACTAAATAACCCACTACACAAACTGTTGGTTTTTTGAAAAAGGCAATTGCCAAGCCAAATGTTTTTCAAGGGGCATTTTAATTCTCGACTTTGTTTCAAAGCCAATATAAAACCACTCTGTGCTCATTATACTGTTCATTTGCTTTCCCGTGTCTCTGCATTTAATTTAGTATACATTACGAAAACAAAATCCACTGTCTCCACTGTTTTTAAACAATTATGCATTAAATTCATGGGGTATAATATCTAGCCCCCGGTTTTAATGAACTTCCCCGAATCACACTAAAAGCCGCCACATCTGTCTCAGGCGACTTTGGGTATATGACGTGCTGATAAATGCAAGTGGGATTTTGTTGTTTTGCAGGTTTTTACCACTTATCTTGCATTTTGCGCAGGCTCAGGTTGTTTCGTTTGCCATTTATTATTGGGACTCGTCTTAATGAAAGTCATGTAGTTATTATCTGCTGATGCAACTTTTCGCAGTACGTCTTCATGCCCAATAGTCTAGTACTCCTCACCTTACCATTTTTCCCAGTTTTTATTGTCAAAATTTGTGTTGTGCTTTTATCTCACATGAATAGTCCTGGGAGGCACTTCGAGCAGATTAGGACTTTATTTCAACAGTTTTGTTACCTTTGAGTGCTTCTGGATTAATCGCTACAAGTGCATTAGTTTTTCCTTTCTCTGTGAAAGAAAGCATGGAAATTTCGACCGTTTTGTAAATCGTTCATCCCGAACTTTTATTTTTTGGGCAAATTACAAATGGTGCATTATTTTTACTTACTACTCTATCATCCTTCCCAGATTGGGTTTTTCTTTTTTGTGTAATAATAATTTCGCTATTGTTGTATGATTTCTAGAGGTAAACGAAATTGTCATGGCGTCTGGAACAGTCAACGGTTCTAATAATTCCCCAGAATCCGTCAGTTATGCTCACAACATAGGCCATGACCTCGATTACTTGGATATGGTTAATACTCTTGAAACCACTTCTCTAAATTCCCAGAAGGTTTGTACATCGGTGTTGTTGCCTAGCACTGGTTATTTTAAGGAATATCAGGACCTATTTTTTGTCACTTATAGAAAAGTTCCCTGGTTGGATCAACTCCATTCGATCCTAAGAAGAGCAAGGTTACTGTGCAACGCCCAGGTGAGCAGAAGGCCTACCAGTGCGGTCCCAATTCGAGAAAAAACAAGAAGTCTGACTCCGTAAGTTGCTTCTAACGTTCTGTTGCTTCCCTTGCTCCTGGTTTTCTTTCGCTCCCTCAAGCAGCAAATGTACCTTGCCCATTAATTTCAGGCTAGAATCCAGTGGGTTTTTAGTAACTCGTGGCAACCTGTTAATTTCCTTTTATCCAAAAAAATCATTTGGTCTCCAAGTGTTTACGCTATTCCTAATGCCCTTGCGTTCACTCGGCCCTATTATGTTTATTTTGGGGAAGTTAATGGTGACTGAACAGTTTATTTTTGACTTTTCGACTGTAACTTGGAATTCAGGAGGTCGCATTATTTTACCTCTCACTGCTGGGGAGGGAGGGGGGTTCGTACCTCACAGGACCACTTTTTCATGCAGATGAAAATCTTCACTAAACCAATTACTTTTGCCTTGTTTAATCTATTGTGCGATATGTCAGAAGCTCATTATTTGTCTTCTTGCTTCCCTTATTCACCCTGTTCATTCAATCATAAATGTAGAAATCAGTCATTCCCAATGATTTACTTCCCTTCTTCGATTCAAAAGGTATCATCTGGTGACGGAACGTAATCGCTGTTTATTCGTGCTTATTTTATTTTCAAAAGGACACTGCAGTTGATAAACTTATTTTGCATGAGAATTCCTTCATTTGCAGTGATTTACTTCCTTAATTTGTTTAGGCGGCAAGCGTTACTTTGTCACCGAGGTTTTACAAATGATGATTATGTTGTCGCTGTGTTTATTCACCTTGTTTACTCTAATTGAACTGGAGAGTGCCTGATTCATTCGCTCTCGTCACCCTGTTTATTCGATCGTGAAATTAAAAAACTCCTCTAAGCTACAAATATACCTTGGTTACAGGGCCTTGGTATCCAAATCCCTGGCTGACTCAACCATTCCTGTATTTTTTATCCGACCATAAAAATACAATTTAGAAATTTGCAGTAGTCTTAACTTTCTGTTCGGGGGCAAGTGTCAGTTGTTTTCAAACTTATCACAAATTCTGTTATGTTCATTGTGTTCATTCATTTCTTCTTCATTTGTTTGTATCTGTGACAAGGGGCACGACGCTGGAACCGTCCATTTTTTGACACTGCTTGGTTGGCTAGCAAATCAGTATTGAGAAATTGACGATATCGTGTCCCCTTCCTTTCGTTTTTTAGTTAGGCCTCACCTTGGCTTAGGTCGTCGCAATCATTCATCTTCGTGTTTATCTGCAAAAAAGTAAATTTTGTGCTAACTGCTCCTTTGCTGCCTTATTTGTCCCAACATCTTAAGTTGTTCCTTCACTTTTTTTTCACGGTGGCGACTTCTCTGAGGAGTAGTTCAAGCATTCACGTACGCTCATTGTAATTGTTCTTCATCGAAAGTGGTTACCACTTTCTGCAGTGTTGTGACTCAGACAGCGGACAATCTTACTTTTCTTCACCGAGTCTGTGACCTGCGGAATGGCAAATTTGACGAATCCTTCTCTTCACATGTCGCCCCTTCCCTCAAGGCGTGCCTGGCTTTTGTTCAAGCCTGAACAACGGCCGCACGGCCACTGGGCTGCTGTTACGCCCGTATCTGTGTGCGTTCGTGGGTGCGTACGCGTTCGCAAGTTTAAGTGCGGTCGCGCTGCCACATCATGTGTTTATCCTCTCACTCTCTCGCCCCTGTGTCTTCGTCGTTTGCGCACGCGTCTGTTCACGGACTAACCGGCTAGCTGACTGGTTGGTTGGTGGGATGTCTAGCTGGAACATATACACGTACACGCACACGTGAGTGTGCGCTCTCGCGCGCGTTAACCGCCGTCCTGGCCATTCTCGGCTTTCGTGTGCTACCCTGGTTGCCTGCCTCGCCGCACGTTAGCGCGCCGGTAGGACCCTGGATCCGATGTCCCCTTCAGGCACATCCGGTACTGTCCGAATCTCCAAATGTACTCACTTGTGTTGCTCGATATTGTCTTTGTTAGGTAGCGTTCATGAGTTGCGGAGGAGTCTTTCGTCTTTTGGTTCAAACTTGGATTCATCGTTTATCGAACAGCATAAAGCCTGGCGCAGCAATAGAGTAAGGCTTAGTGCCATCCTCGCAGTGAAACGATAGTCTTCGATGGCCAAAATAGCTAAGGAATTATCCTTCTGGCTGCTAATCCTCCACTTTTCTGTCATGTATTTCCCGTGTGGAGGTTAGGTAGTTTGACTACCTTTCCCCAAAAAAGCGGGCAATGCCGATGACTGATTGCAAGCGCCACCAGCGGGAGTGGCGATGGTAACAGCAACTGCGGCAGGACCGAGCGTGTAATTCACACGCAAAAGGCACAAGCGCGTACGCAGTCACTGTCACTGCTACTGCTACCCTAGAGGCAGCTCTGTGGCCTTGATTCCGAGGGACGCACACACACACACACCCACGTACCCTTTCGTTGCCCTCTTGAAAAGCGGAATTTGTTCCCTGAACGAAGGATCAAGTTAGTCATCCAGGTCTTCTTTTTCGTGGCTTGGTGGCATATTTTTTTTGCGGGTCGCAATTGCATAAAAATCACCTCTCCACCTTTTCATTGGTAGGTTTCGTGAGAAGGAACCTGGTACCAGCGGATTATGGTTATCGAAGGTTTCTTTGCATCTTCGGGATCGTATCATCCATGTCTAATGACAAAGCGCTACTTTTTTTCATTTTGAAATGGCTTCCCCTTTTAATTTCGATCAAAATTGTAGTAGTCTGGTCGCGATTATCCTTTCCAATTCCGGATGATTGCAGTGAATAATTTATCCACATTTGCGTTAAAGCGGTAGCAGCTTTTAATCGCACTGTTAAGATGGGACTGATTCAGTAAGTGATTTCATGTTATATTCAACAACCTGCTATAAAAGGTGACCAATTTCGAATCTCGGAAATTGCGTTATTGCCGCTTATGGAGATGATGAAATTGAGCACATTCGTGTATTTATTAAGCTTACCTCATTTGTGTAGAAGTTTACAGTCTCGTATCAGGTAAACTGAAAAATTTTCGCGGTTTTTGGAATGGCTTGTGTGGATTTGCAAGAAACGTGCGATCACCTCATACACATACATTATAAAGTATGGATATGGGTCAATTCATGATTGCAGCATTAGTTGTTGAACTCCCTCCTATTTTCCTCTTCAACCCTGCCCTTACATCATGAAATTTAGCTCAACCCCAAAACTGTAGAAACTTCCCGTAACATTTATTGCATAGCAGTTGGTGATGAATCACCCCAAGACTTGTGCATCACGTTTGGGAAGCACCTCTACCCTCGCCAATAATGGTCCAAGAAATTGGAGATTGGCAAGTCAGCAAAAACAGTGGTTTTCAACGTGAGCCATGATGAAACAATTCGTCCTCATCTGCGGCATTTGTGAAAGGAAGGTTGGGGAATCTACTTAGCGCATGAATATCAACTTTATGCACTAATGGGCTACAATACGTTTGGAATTTGCTGTTTTATTATTCACTCCTTACACCAACATGGCTTCGTACTATGCATTTAAAATTGTTTAGTGACTGACTGATCTGTACTGAGAAATCACACTTACTTCAACGTCTAGCGGACAAACACGTTGGTTACCTCCAAACTATCCACCCATCCTTCATCTCACTCCTAATCTCAGGCGACGGTGCGCTGTGTTTACGTGTGCATAGGTGTGTGATCGGCTGTAGAAGTTTTGTAAATTATTATCTAATTAGGGTCAAACATCAATTACAGCTAAGGTTTATGCATCTGTTTGACACGCTATAATGCAACTTGAAGGTACGCAAAGATAGCTTTCTTTTCTAAAACATCCAGAATCAATCAGTAACTCGGTCATCGGGAAGGAAGTTCTTTTACACTTACAAGGTCAAGGTGGACCTCGTGTTGTACACTACCGCCAAACTCGCCCTTAAAAAGGACTTGCCGCATTTTAGGATGGGTTGGAATAGGTTTCCAGCCTATTTTCATTCTCATCCTCTGTGTTCCTCTGTCGATATATTTCTTGGCATTACCACTGCACATAAACATAATTGTATGAAAAATTGACTAGACGGTTGAGAAATAAAGGTGAAATAGCTTATAGGAACGGAGTTGTCAAGGTTTGCGTTTATCCCGTTGCTGCTAGGGACGAAAATTGTCACAAAAGTTTTTGTCTCGTAGGTAAGGAGATACGTTATGTTGGTATTTCATTAAAATGTTTTGGGACGCCCTTTGCAATTGCTTAAAGACCCCTTGGCTTTGATTGTTTACCTTCCAGCTTAAATGAC